ACTCTCAGCACATATGTCCGTGACTCACGGAAAGGTCCCGATCTCCCCTTTCGATCAGGACCTTTTCCGATCATGTGACGGTGAATCACGGTAGTCACATGACCCTGAAACCCTGCCCACCTTCTGGCTTCTAAAACTCTTAAAGGGCCTGGAGGCGCCGGCGCTAAGAGGTTAAAGAAACATGGAGGCTGCCATTGCTTGAAAAATGCAGATTTGTTGTCTGTTATGCTGAACCTCTGGCTGTAGCACTTTGAGTCACTAACCCAGAACAACTTCAATGGCAGCACATGAAAAACACATGGGGGCATGCATTTTACATGCGTTTTAGTGCATGACAGCAACCCCCCACTCCTAGGTACCTCTGCTTTATTTGACTTTTATTGGCCAAAACAGAACACAGGAAAACGCAATGGTGTGAATTTAGCCTGTTCTGCCACTCATACCAATGCAGCGCGGGTTACAGGTTTCAGAGCCCTTCAGTGAAGGGGAAATATGGGGTAACTGCCAATTTGTGTATAAAATAGTCATTTCATACACTAGAATGCCCTGTAATAAGTGACACAATCATTACCTCTCTGTATGCCTGAGTCACATCCCCAGACAAAGCAATTGGACACCTGAATGGAAGATTAGTGATCACCTCCCTTATTGATGAGCGTTGCTCCTTGTAGACAGGTTTTCAATGGCCCCCAAGGGAGATTTGAGCTCAGAAAAATTGCAGATTTGCACCTTAAGTTCCGAGTGCACACATACAGACATGTAATATGCCGACGGATGTCTAATATTTATTTATTTCAGGTACTTGTATAGCGCTGTCAATTTTACACAGCGCTTTACATATATATTGTACATTCACATCAGTCCCTAACCCTCAAGGGGCGTACAATCTAAGGTCCCTAACCAGGGGTGGACTGACAACTCATGGGGCCCCTGGGCAATAGGGGATCATGGGGCCCCTGTGTCCTTGCCCAAACTCAAAAAAATCCTATGAAAAAGGTACCAGGGGCATCTCATGGGGCCCCCTACTGACCCCGGGCCCTCGGGCAGTGCCCGAGTTTCCAAATTATATTGCCCTAACTTATATTCATACATATACAGTACATACTAGGGCCAATTTAGACAGGAGCCAATTCACCCACCAGCATATCTTTGGAGTGTGGGATGAAACCGGATTACCCGGAGGAAACCCATGCAGGCACAGGAAGAACATGCAAACTCCAGGCAGGTGGTGCTGTGGTTGGGATTAGAACCAATGACCCTAGTACTGCCAGGCAGAAGTGCTAGCCGCTGTACTGCCCATCTAATATACAGTGTGTGTGTGTGTATATACAGTCAGGTCCATAAATATTGGGACATCGACACAATTCTAAAATTTTTGGCTCTATACACCAGCACAATGGATTTGAAATGAAACAAACAAGATGTGCTTTAACTGCAGACTGTCAGCTTTAATTTGAGGGTATTTACATCCAAATCAGGTAAACGGTGTAGGAATTACAACAGTTTGCATTTGTGCCTCCCACTTGTTAAGGGACCAAAAGTAATGGGACAATTGGCTTCTCAGCTGTTCCATGGCCAGGGGTGTGTTATTCCCTCATTATCCCAATTACAATGAGCAGATAAAAGGTCCAGAGTTCATTTCAAGTGTGCTATTTGCATTTGGAATCTGTTGCTGTCAACTCTCAAGATGAGATCCAAAGAGCTGTCACTATCAGTGAAGCAAACCATCATTAGGCTGAAAAAACAAAACAAACCCATCAGAGAGATAGAAAAAACATTAGGCGTGGCCAAAACAACTGTTTGGAACATTCTTAAAAAGAAGGAACGCACCAGTGAGCTCAGCAACACCAAAAGATCCGGAAGACCACGGAAAACAACTGTGGTGGATGACTGAAGAATTCTTTCCCTGGTGAAGAAAACACCCTTCACAACAGTTGGCCAGATCAAGAGCACTCTCCAGGAGGTAGGTGTATGTGTGTCAAAGTCAACAATCAAGAGAAGACTTCACCAGAGTGAATACAGAGGGTTCACCACAAGATGTAAACCATTGGTGAGCCTCAAAAGCAGGAAGGCCAGATTAGTGTTTGCCAAACGACATCTAAAAAAGCCTTCACAGTTCTGGAACAACATCCTATGGACAGATGAGACCGACATCAACTTGTACCAGAGTGATGGGAAGAGAAGAGTATGGAGAAGGAAAGGAAAGGAACTGCTCATGATTCTAAGCATACCACCTCATCAGTGAAGCATGGTGGTGGTAGTGTCATGGCGTGGGCATGTATGGCTGCCAATGGAACTGGTTCTCTTGTATTTATTGATGATGTGACTGCTGACAAAAGCAGCAGGATGAATTCTGAAGTGTTTCGGGAATATTATCTGCTCATATTCAGCCAAATGCTTCAGAACTCATTGGACGCTTCACAGTGCAGATGGACAATGACCCAAAGCATACTGCAAAAGCAACCAAAGAGTTTTGTAAGGGAAAGAAGTGGAATGTTCTGCAATGGCCAAGTCAATCACCTGACCTGAATCCGATTGAGCATGTATTTCACTTGCTGAAGACAAAAATGAAGGGAAAATGCCCCAAGAACAAGCAGGAACTGAAGACAGTTGCAGTAGAGGTCTGGCAGAGCATCACCAGGGATGAAACCCAGCGTCTGTATGTGATGTCTATGCGTTCCAGACTTCAGGCTGTAATTGACTGCAAAGGATTTGCAGCCAAGTATTAAAAAGTGAAAGTTTGATTTATGATTATTATTCTGTCCCATTACTTTTGGTCCCTTAACAAGTGGGAGGCACATATGCAAACTGTTGTAATTCCTACACCGTTCACCTGATTTGGATATAAATGCTGGGGTTAGGATTTGAACCAATGACCCTAGAACTGCTAGGCGGAAGTGCTAACCATTTAGCCACTGTGCTGCCCATATATATATATATTATACATACATACATACATACATACATACATAAATGATCTGTTAGATATCAGGACAGGCAAAACATCCGATTGGTGGTCCTCATAGAGAAACAGTAGTTCAATGTTCTCCAGTAGTCACTATTTTGTTTCCATAATACAAACATTTTTTGTGCTGCAAGCTTTTGAGTTAAAACTTTGGTTAAATAGTCGTTGACCCCCCTGTCAGCATGCATAACCTTTCCACAATCTGGACCGAGCAGTCAGTCCACTGTTTATGATCAGCAAAACCCCAATTATTTTCAATTACTGTCTTCATCAACTGACATGGTTCTTTCAGCCTTTGTGGAGGTTATGGTAGGACCTGCATAAGGGAAAGATACGAATCAAAGAGGGAAATCTTTTCAGTGTGACTGGAGGCACAAACCTCTGATAAAATACTATATTCTGGGCGAATATCAGCTTTACACAATAATTTTTAAATGTATTTCTTTTAAATTGTCTTTTTTTTAATAACTGCTATAGGTATACAAATATTTAAATTTCCACATATATAAAATATATCCAGCATTAGGCTCCATGTACACGGGACAATTCTGAACGATGGAAACTGACTGCTGGAAAACATAGGTTAAAAAACGTTTGCATACCGCATTTATGAGCATTTGCGTTTAGATGCGTTTTTTAAAGATAACCTCAGGAGACCTTCCAGAATGCACTGAAAAACAGTTAAAAAATTAACTATTTCAGACATTTTGAGAGAAATTGAGAGAGCATTATATGTTGAGATTATCTGTTTTTTTTGTGGTGTTTGGATGTGTTCCAGCTCATTTCTGTGCAGAAATTATTGCAGCAGTGTCTAACATATTTTCTTTCATGCGAAACCTCAAAGTATGGTGTACCGAGTCTATTTGAGTACCGGGACAACGCTTTGCATGCATATTTCATGATGAAAAAAGGTTCTGGACAGCATCTGGAAATGGAAGAGTTAAAAAAAATTTCCAAACACTTCTAAACGAGGTTAGCCGCATTTACACGCGTTTATAATCATTTACCATTTGAAATGCTGATAAAATCTACTGAACGCAAGTTTGGTGCGTTAAAAAAATATCATTGCTTCTAATAGTGCCTGTTCACATCAGTGCAGCTCAGCTGTGATGTAACTTTGGGAAAAGGTCCTGCGCTACTTTGGTTTGATTTACAGTGAGATTTGCCCCATAAAATATGCAGACCGTATCCAAAACGAAATGAAAGTTGCCTATATAATTGCACTGCAAGCCCTAGAAACATCTGCACTGTGTTTACATTACAGAGTTGGTAGGTTGTCAAGATTCTGTTCTCCTATAAAAATGCTGAGAATTTACCGCCTGGGTTGTGAATTTTGAAAATGTATTTCTTCACAATGCTTTTAGATACAGTGATGAATTAGACCTAGTTTTAAACGGCTTTTACTGCTTATTACGAATATGTACTGTAAATACTTTAGTGTGCATGGTCTGTACGCCTGTTAACTTTGAAGGATGAAATATATAGGATTTTTAATTACCGTAAATACCAATTGGCTGGCTCATATTTTACGGCTTATGGAGTTCAATACTCACTTACCCCTAACTTAATAGAAATATATGAGGGAAGACCGAGAAAAGTCCTTGTCTGCATACTGAATTAGTAGCTAACCGTATTGAAGCCAGAAGTTTAGCATGACAGCCTGGAAACCAGCATTTTCAGAAGGAGAGATTACTTCTTAGTAAGCTTTCTGTAATAAAATACAAGGAGAGTCAGATTATGATTTTGTTTCCCCCACACAGAAGACATGCATATTAAGGACCTTCTCATACCAAATGCATTGTGCTAGGTGCATTGATGAGCTGCGGTGCCATAAATTGTCAATGGTACCCCCAAAGCACATCTAAATCACATGTACTGCAAAGAATGAAGACTGCACCTAATCATTTCATTAGGTTGTAACCTATTCATTTTAAATAGGGCTGCCTAACACAATTTGCTTTATTGCTCAAAAATGAATGCTTTACAGAGCACTGCATTGTGTTGGGAATGTTCCCTAACAATTGTGTTTTTGTGTCTTACAGTCCTGTGTTCTGAGCGAGTTGGCAGAATCACCAAGACCTATCGGGACATAGACGCTGTGACCAGTCTGCTAGAGGAGGTATGTAAACACTATTAGCCCGGGTTCACACTGATGCGGTGCGGAATTTGCAGCATTTTTTGTGCGAATTCCGCACCACATCACAATCGCACCCCGTTCATGCGAACTGCTGCGGGTGCTGCGGGTGTGTATGTTAAGTGAACAATACCCTGCAATCGGTCCGCAATGTGCAGAATCGGATCGCATAGGTGTGATTACCCATGCGATCCGATTCTGGTGCGGACTAAAAAAAGGGTCCTGCACCTTTTTGGTGCGGATGCGGTGCGATTTGAGCCAGACAAAATGTATGGCTCCAGTCGCACCGCACACAAATCGCATGTAATTTGCACAGGATTGAGGTGCGGTTACTGTGCGAATCACATCCGATATACCGCACCGCATATATGTGAACGCAGGCTTAGTCAGTACTCTGTTACCCAGTGTTACATTGTTCAACAAAGCTTAAAATGTATACCAACAGCAAAATAGCACAAACAAATATTCAGTTCATCTTTGCAATACATAAACATTCTCATTCTCATTTTGAAAATGTTGCTAATACAAAAAAGTGTCCCAGTGGTCTGCCAGAAATCCAGTGTGCAACTTAACTTCATGCTTGAGTTCACAAAACACTAACACTATACTTTCTGCACTGAAATCTGCCTGCTGGACTTCATAACTCTGCCTGTCTCTCGCCCCTTCTGTTCTTTTTCACATGCATACATTGATTTCTTCCTCGGCAAAACACTGGCGCTGCCTTGTCCCAAAACAGCGCACCCGCACACTCTGCTGGAGGGAAAGGACTATTGGCATTTGTAGTAAAGCTATGCTGTGCTTTGTTCGATCAGGGAAAGCAAGAGGTTTTTTTTTTTAACACCCGCACCCCCCAAATTGTAGGAGGCAGAGAAGTTTAGCAATCATTTAGGTAAAACAGGTGCTACCATGGCAATAATACCTTCTTCGCACATGCCGTAAACTGATGTAGCTTACAAAAAAGACCCTGATCCTAGGGGTGCTGCATGCCTTTTACCAATCCTGCCGTTTCATGTCTTTCGGGGTGTAGAATGCCGCCAGTCCTCATTTAACCACAAGCCAAATGTAAACTGAAACCACCACTTATCAGTGCCACCAAAGAGGAACACACAGAGCCAGAGATCGGTACACAGCATACATTTTATTGATTACAAACTGCACATACTGAGCTAAGAGCAGGTATCGCTGTAAACAAATAAAATATGAAATCTGATATCATTGTTCTTTGCACCCACGATGTGCATATGTTTGTATGCATACGCAGTACAGATATACAGTTGCAAGAAAAAGTATGTGAACCCTTGGGATTATGTGGAGTTTTGCATGAATTGGGCAAAAAAATGTGCTCTGAACGTCATCTAAGGCACAACAATAGAAGAACACAGTCTGCTGAACATAATACTACACAAACATTAGATGTTGCCATGGTTTAATTGCACATAACATGTAAACATTCACAGTGCAGGGAGGAAAAAGTATGTGTCTGTCCACCAACTGAAGCTCCGCAGAGGATGGGTGATGCAACAGGACAATGACCCAAAGCATACAAGTAATTCAACAAAACAATGGCTGCAACAGCACAGAATACGCCTTCTGGAGTGGCCCAGTCAGAGTCCTGACCTCAACCCGATTGAAATGCTGTGGCATGACCTTAAGAGAGCGATTCACACCAGACATCCCAAGAATATTGCTACACTGAAACAGTTTTGTGAAGAGGAGTGGTCCAAAATTACTCCAGATCGTTGTGCAGGTCTGATCTGCAAATACAGGAAACATTTGGTTGAGGTTAATTGCTGCCAAAGGAGGGTCAACCAGTTATTAAGTCCAAAGGTTCACATACTTTTTCCTCCCTGCACTGTGAATGTTTACATGTTATGTGCAATTAAACCATGGCAACATCTAATGTTTGTGTAGTATTATGTTCAGCAGACTGTGTTCTTCTATTGTTGTGACTTAGATGACGTTCAGAGCACATTTTATGCCCAATTCATGCAAAACTCCACGTAATCCCAAGGGGTTCACATACTTTTTCTTGCAACTGTATATGCATAATATTGAGATGGCTGACTAAGATTTGGATTTTTTTTTTTTTGCTGGGTTTGTGTATTTATGTTGTATATTATTGCCATCCTCAGAAAGAGAGAGACCTTGAGCTAGCCGCTCGTATTGGGCAGTCCCTTTTGAAGCAAAATCAAGAACTGACAGTACGGAATGAGTATCTGGAGGAACAGCTGGAGGCCGCTAAAGAGGAGGTGATTATGGGGCGAATGCTGGATTTTAAAGGTAGCATTAAAACTTGTGTAACATTCAGAGCGTATAACTTTTTTTTATTTTTATTTGATTGGATTCTTAGGTTTATCAGCTTCGACATGAAGTGTCCATGCGGGAAGACCTTCTCCATCTGTACACCAGCAACTTGGAGAGCGAGTCCACATCTGCCATTGCTACACCGTTAGTAGTATATTTTCTGTACAGTATTTTAACACATACATTGTATTGTAGTCTAGGATGATGATCTAGATCAGCCTTTCTCAACCAGGGTACCTTGAGGTTTCTTCAGGGGTGCCTTGGCAAAATGACAAAAAATTGCCCAAAACTTGAACAATCCAGCAGGTGGAACAAGCATGCCTTTTAGTTACACAAAGCCCCAGGTTTTCATTGTGCACCATTACGACCTTCTAGCCGCCGATACCCTAACAACCAGTGCCGTCAGTTGATAAGGAGGATGTCAGCTGCCTGCACAGCATCCTAGTTTGACCCTCCCCCGCCCCTCTCCATCACTGCTGGGGTCACATTTGCTCAGTGATGGATTAAAACTGAGGGAGAAGAGAAACGCTGGAATACTAGTCAGTACCAGTAAATCACCTCTAATGTTGGATGCCCTGTATGTGTTGATGTTGCTGCGTTATATAAAACTATTAGAATAGTTTTTCACATTTTAGAATGGGGTGCCTCAAGACTGTCCCATAATTTTAAAGGGTGCCTCAGGACTGTCCATAATTTTAAAGGGTGTCTTGACTGAAAAAAGGTTGAGAAACACTGGTCTAGATCAGGGGTCTTCAGACTTTTCAAATAAAGAGCCTGTTTACTGTCGTTCAGACTTTAGGGGAGCCAGACTATGGCCAGTGAGGTAAAAAAAAGGACCAGGCCTATCATCAGTGAAAATAAACATTGCCTCAGGGTTGGTGGTCAGTTACATAGCACCTATGGTCAGTAGGAGGAGGAATAGTGCCCCATCATGGGAGTCAGTGGAAGGAATCATGCTCCACTATTGGTGTCAGCGGGAGAAATAGTGCCTCATATGTCTGGGAGGAATACTGCCCCAAGGGCTGGTTATAGGCCTGCAAAGGGCTGCATCTGACCCTCGGGCCATAGTTTGGAGACCACTGATCTAGATCATTCACACATGACCTGGAATCCTGATTATTTTGATCATGAGCCCTTATAGTGCCCACAGCAGTGTGCAGACCCAGAGATCCCACCAATAAGGTCCCTGAGAGATATAATAAAGTTTCAGGTGGATTTACCAAATTACCAAAAACTGAAATATTGGTTTTAAGTGGACTGTCCCTCTAACCAGTGCCATAACATACATCGGTGAATCTTGTACTTGTTTGTGCCCACTCTGCCAGTGATGAATGCAACATCACAATATGTCCTGCATACTGTAGGTCTGGAATGCTTCAGCAAGGATTGACCCTTTTCAGCTTCACTGTCTTTGAAGTCCCCAATCTGGAACTGGTATGAGGCCCTTTCTCAGTGCTGTTGGCCAATTTACATAGCGCAAAGATTTTATGCTGCCTTTTTAGGAAGGTGGTAGCTGATGAAGAGACAAGGCAAGATTAACCAAACACAATAAAAGAACACTTGGTTTGATTTTAATTTGTCTAAATTGTCCTGTTGAGCTTTGTGGCATCTAGTGAGGGAACTGTAGTAAAATGACTGACTACTTATTTTATCTTTTCCTGGTAGGCTGCATAGAAATCACTCCTCATTCTGTCTTCAACGTGATGTCCAGCTAGATGCCCTCCAGCAAAAGCTCAAGAACCTGGAGGAAGAGAACCACAAGATGCGTAATGAGGTAAGCTCAGTTTTAAACCAAAAGCATGGTAAATACCTATGGTTTAAGCTGTGGTCCGCTTACAGTTGTCTACTTCTTTATTGACAGGCCAGCCACATCCTTGATAGAACTAATGACTATGAAGACCAGGAGAGCTCACTAATGCTGGACTGCGTAGAACAGTTCTGTGAGTTAATATCCAAAACATTTGATCTTCTGAGTCATTGTAATTTGTTGCCTGAGTCCAACCTGATTCCAAGTGAAACTTTAGCCACAACTTTTTTTTTAGTTGTTACTACAGAGGAGATAAGTTACAACCTTTGTCAGGTGTTTATGGCTGTTGGTACATAAAGGAGTATTTTTTTTTTCCTTTTTTTTTTTCCTTGCAAAATCTTTTTAAAAGGACCCAGAAAGCAATAAACAGCAAGGGTCTGATCCTTCATTGTGCCACGCAGAGCCAAAAATAAAATGTTTGTCAGGAATGCTTTAAAGCGAACCTGTGCATTGCTCATGCAAACTAATGTAATAGGTTTACTTAACTGTAGCTCTTCCCAGGTTCACATCACCCCTCTAATACATGACACATTGGAAATAATGCACCTTAAAGCGGAGCTCCACCCAAAAGGGGAAGTTCTGCTTTAAGGACTGCTCCCCTGCTCCCCATTAAGGATTGGCACCTTTGGGGGGGCGAGTTCCCAAATTTTACAGGTACCCTCTCCCACTTCCGGTCAGATCGCCTAGGCGATCGGAAGCGGAAGGTGTACTCCCTCCCTCCCTCCCTGTAGTCTTTTGGGACACGTGACAGGTCCAAGAAGACTACAGGACCATTCATGAAGCGCAGCGCTACTCACGCATGCGCAGTGGGTTCCTGGCTGTGAAGCCGTAAGCTATCACAACGGGGTACCCACACTGAAGATGCCGGCCTCCTGGAATACAGGATGGCCGGTGAAATGGGCTGCGGGGGGACACCGCGGGGACCGAGGGACAGGTAAGTGCCTGTTTTTTGAAAGTCAGCAGCTACAGTTTTTGTAGCTGCTGACTTTTATTTTTTGACAGCATGAGTGGAACTCCGCTTTAAGGACCACAGAGCTTTCAGTTTTATCTGATATGACAAGCTGAGGAGAAGTGGCCACTCTGATCTATTTTTATAACATTTTGTACATGTTTTCAAGTGCTAATAGCCATGCAGATCCCATAAAAACTATTGGGGGAATTCGTCAAAACTGCAGTAGACAGAGGAGGTTATTTCCAAAGCTGCAAATTGCAAAATCTGGTGCAGCTTTGCATAGAAATCAATCAGTTTCCAGGTTTTATTGCCAAAGCCTAAATGAACAAGCTGAAGTTAGACACTGATTGGCTACCATGCACATCTACACAAAATTCTGAGTGCACCAATTTTAGTAAATAAGCAGGGTTGTATGACAACCAGTCAGCTTCTATCTTCAGCTTGTTCAGTTAAAGTAGTTGTAAATGCTTCATGCATTCTATCCATAAAGCTTAAAAACCTTTTCTGTGCAGCATCCAACCCAGCCTCCCCCTAATACATAATACTCCCCTAAGCCTCCTCTCTAGCGATGTGCACTGGAGTCTCTGCTATCCTGGGGCTCCCTCTCCTCATTGGCTGAGGCAGCATCGGAAGCCATTGGCTCCCGCTGCTGTCAGTCACAGCCAGTGAGCCAGTCAAAAGAGAGACGGGCGGGAATGAGCCGTGGCTCCGTGTGTGAATGGACACACGGAGCAGCGGCTTGGGAACGTGCCTGCTCGGGTGCCCCCATAGCAAGCTGCTTGCCGTGGGGGTACCCGACAGGAGGTAGGAGCCAGGAGCGCCGGCAGGGGACCCGAGAAGAGGAGGATCCAGGCTGCTCTGTACAAAACCACTGCACAGAGCAGGTAAGTATGACATGTTTGTTATTTTACAAAAATAAAAGAACCTTTAGTAATGCTTTAAAGCGGAGTTCCACCTGAAAAAAAAGCAGCAGCTACAAAAACTGTAGCTGCTGACTTTTAAAATACAGCCACTTACCTGTCCCTCGGTCCAGCGGTGTCCTCATCTGCCGTCTTCTCTCTCTGGCATCGACATCTTCAGTGTGGGCACCCGGCTGTGACAGCTTGCGGCTTCACAGCTGGGTGCCCACTGCGCATGTGTGAAAAGCGCTGCGCTATGTGAATGGCCTCGTAGTCTTCTGGGACCTGTCACGTGTCCCAGAAGACTACGGGGAGGTAGGGAGGACAGCTTCTGATTGCCTAGACAATCGCAGCATAAGTGGGAGTGGGTACCTGTCAAATTCGGGGTACCCACTCCCCAAAGGTGCTAATCCTTAATGGGGAGCGGGGGACAAAGGCTTAAAGCTGAACTTCCCCTTTTGGGTGGAGCTCCGTTTTAAGCTTTGAAAGTGAAATATAGAAGCTGATTGGTTGCCATGCACAGTTTCTCCAGCTGCTCCTGCATTGATAAATTCCCATCTGTTTATTTATTTATTTTTTCTCACTGAATGGGTTATTTTTCTGAAATGACACTGGATTCATGGTTGTGGTGAAAATAGAGCCACCTTTTTTGCATCATTTATGTCTATTAATAGGTAATATGTATTGTGGTGTTTTTTTTTTAGCGGAGGCCAGTAAGCAGATGGCACTGCTGGCAGACGAAGTGGCTCGCAGAGGAGAAGATGCAGCCCGGCAGCAAGAAGAGATCAGCCAGCTTCTTGCCCAGATTGTTCACCTGCAGCAGAAGTGTCGCAGTGTGAGTGATTATTTCTAATGTACAAACTGTACAGATGTTGAAGGTAGAAAAGTCACCGACTATGGCAACGTCTGCTCTGACCGTATATTACTTTTTTTCTTAGACCTCCACAGAGAATGAAGAACTTCACCAACATCTAGCGGCTGTGAAGGACAGGGAAAACATGCTGAAAACTGAGGTAGGATGAAAACCTGGCACATGTGGATTACTTTAAGAGGTTTATACTTTCAGCAGTGGATTAAATCCTGTTGCTGAGACTCCCCACTTCTGATATGCTGTAGCTGGGACCCTAATTTAAATTCCTAGTGCCAAACATGTGGCCTTTGATACTTACTGCCTGCCCCTTGGGCCTCAGCAGTCAACCAGAGTGAAAGCATTACTTTTTAATAGGCTGTAATAGCAGTGATCACTAGCTGTTCATATAACAAGCCCCAGTCTCTGAAAGTCTCCTGTAGTATGCCCACATGCCCATTGACCATCTATATTTGTACGACTGCAGCCCCAAACAGTTTTCTGTAGAATTACCTCTGCTAAATCTTATGCAAGGTCTCTTGGGCATGTTAGCGGCCACAGTTTGGACCCCTTGAATCTAGTAAGTTTATCAACACTGGTTTAAATAAAGTCACTCTTAACCACTTCAGGTCCGGACACTTTCACCCCTTTCCTGTCCAGGCCAATTTTCAGCTTTCAGTGCTATCACACTTTCAATGACAATTGCGCGGGTCATGCAACACTGTACCCATATGAATTTTGTTAGCATTTGTTTGAGACAGATAAAACTTTATTTTGGTGGTATTTATTCACCACTGGGAGTTTTATTTTTTTTTTTTTGCTATATAAATGAAAAAGTCCAAAAATTTTGAAAAAAAAAGTGTTTTTCTTATATAATTTTTGCAAATAAATTTTCATTCTTGATAAATCTTGGTCAAAACTTATTCAGTTATCTTTTTAATAAAAAAAAAATAGCCCAAATTAGTTTATAACCAAAGATTATAATTTTTCAAAAACTTTTTTACATTTTATTTTACTTTTTTCTATTTGTGTTTTTTTTTTAACATACTGTCACCTTAGCAGTACAGTGTCACCATAGTGACACTGTACTAGTGGGGGGGTGATGAAGATTTTTTTTTTTTTTTTTTACACCCATAAAGGATGTAAAAGCAATCATTTCTCCTTCTCTCTGACTACATTCTTGCAGCCATTGAGAAATACTGTGTGAGCTGTGATTGGTCACAGCTTGTCATATGGTACAAGGCTGTTGTGAATAGCCTTGTATCATGTGATCATTCACAGATTTCTCAAGTAGTAAGCAATGATGTCAGAAGTGACATCTTGCTTACTACTATTCATGTGATCACTGATTAGCCAATCAGTGACCACCAGATCCGGACCTCACACAGAGGTCCCATACAGCTATCGGTGTTCCGTTGTGTCCAGAGGACACAGTGGGCATCGGGTCGCGGTGCCGCACTCTCCCAGGGAAGCGCGCACAGGCTATAAATGCGGGCGCCGTTTATGAACGGCAAACCGCCCCTGCACTGCTCCTGTCCGGCCATTTATGTACATGGTCAGTGTCTTTTATGCAGTAAAGCAAATTAAAAGTGAAGTAGGAGTAGAATGATGAGACCAATCTGTACTACTCTAGCCTTCGTAACTTTAGAGCCATGCTGGCTATAGACAGATGAATGTCTTACTAGTGTACCAGGTACTGAAGTCTGCCCATCCTTCATCAAATTGCCTTGCTAAAAAAAAACTTTATTTACAATTGCAATCATTTTTAAACATTGAAAATGCCTATTATTGTGTCTATCTTAAACTACACATCGCTCAATAATAGTTTTAAGAAGTGATTGGATGCTTTGACTTAAAATTACTGGGTTGTGTGTCACTATCTTAAGGCATTTAGTTTGAGTGGGGGTCTTGTCATTAATCACCAAACTTGGTGGTCAGCCTAATTTTGTGTACCTCTTTAGCTTCAAGACCTTCAGGAAAAGCACAGGGAATGTGAGGAGATGCTACATGAGGCACAGGAGGAGCTGAAGAACCAAAGGAACCGAAGCCTCCCCAACAGCACTATCAGCAGATACAGCACACTGAACATTTTCCCTTTGGTAAGTAGCAGAGATTGAGTAAGACCCACTCAGTGGGGTTTTGGATGATGCATCATGTTCATGAGGAGTGGAGTAGCCTTATTGTAGCCTTATTATGCCTTTTCTATCCACAGGATTCCTTAGCAGCAGAGATTGAAGGAACAATGAGAAAAGGGATTGATGCATCTTCAGAACTAAAGTAAGTTACAGAATATTATTCAAGACCTTTTCATTTGCATGCCTCCAAAATCTGGACAGATACGATTTGAAGCTCCATCTCTATTTTACCAAAATATGCCCATATTTAGGCATACACATGTCACTTTTGTTAAGCCCTACTCTTTCTACATTTTTGAATTGTCCTACTAAAAAATAGGTTTACCAGTGGGTTGTGCTGGCAGGCAGATAGCAGCATCAGCCTTATCCATTTAAAGGATAAGCTCATCTTTCAGTACATGTTACACCGGTATTTACGGTGTAACATCTAACATGTTATGATCAGACTGGCTCCCACTTCCCCCATTTGACAACTAGCAGGGAATCTTCTCCCCCTCGCTAGCTGTCAAAATTTTTAAAAAACCTGGCCGTGCAGGGCTCCACCCTCCCAGCCACATCACTCGTTCACTGTTACATATAGTTACATAGTTAGTCTGGCTGAAAAAAGACAAAAGTCCATCCAGTTCAACCAAAAAAAAAAAAAGAAGTTATAATCCTACACCCACAGTTGATCCAGAGGAAGGCAAAAAAAAACCCAGCAAAGCATGATCCAATTTGCTTCTGCAGGGAAAAAAATTCCTTCCTGATCCCCCGAGAGGCAATCAGATATTCCCTGGATTAACTTTACCTATAAATGTTAGTATCCAGTTATATTCTGTGTATCCAGGAAAGAATCCAGGACTTTTTTTTTTTTTTTAAAGCAATCCACTGAGCTGGCCAGAACCAACTCTTAAGGGAGTCTATTCCACATTTTCACAGCTCTCACTGTGAAGAAACCTTTCCGTGTTTGGAGATTAAATTTCTTTTCCTCCAAACGTAAAGAGTGCCCCCTTGTCCTCTGGATGACCTCAGGGTGAATAACTCTACACCGAGTTCACTATATGAACCACTGATGTATTTATACATGGAGATCATATCCCCCCTTATGTATTATACATGGAGATCATATCCCCCCTTATATATTATACATGGAGATCATATCCCCCCTTATGTATTATACATGGAGATCATATCCCCCTTATGTATTCTACATGGAGATCATATCCCCCTTATGTATTCTACATGGAGATCATATCCCCCCTTATGTATTATTATACATGGAGATCATATCCCCCCTTATATATTATACATGGAGATCATATCCCCCTTATGTATTATACATGGAGATCATATCCCCCCTTATGTATTATACATGGAGATCATATCCCCCCCCTTATGTATTATACATGGAGATCATATCCCCCTTATGTATTATACATGGAGATCATATCCCCCCTTATGTATTATACATGGAGATCATATCCCCCCTTATGTATTATACATGTATTATACATGGAGATCATATCCCCCCTTATGTATTATACATGGAGATCATATCCCCCCTTATGTATTATACATGGAGATCATATCCCCCCTCATGTATTATACATGGAGATCATATCCCCCCTCATGTATTATACATGGAGATCATATCCCCCCCTTATGTATTATACATGGAGATCATATCCCCCCTTATGTATTATACATGGAGATCATATCCCCCCTTATGTATTATACATGGAGATCATATCCCCCCTTATGTATTTATACATGGAGATTATATCCCCCCTTATGTATTATACATGGAGATCATATCCCCCCTTATGTATTATACATGGAGATCATATCCCCCCTTATGTATTATACATGGAGATCATATCCCCCCTATGTATTATACATGGAGATCATATCCCCCCCTTATGTATTATCCCCCCTTACATGGTGATCATATCCCCCCTTATGTATTATACATGGAGATCATATCCCCCCTTATTATTATATGTGGAGATCATATATACATGGAGATCATATCCCCCTTATGTATTATACATGGTGATCATATCCCCCCTTATGTATTATACATGGAGATCATATCCCCCCTTATGTATTATACATGGAGATCATATCCCCCCTTATGTATTATACATGGAGATCATATCCCCCCTTATGTATTATACATGGAGATCATATCCCCCCTTATGTATTATACATGGAGATCATATCATGTATTATACATCCCATATCCCCCTTATGTATTATACATGGAGATCATATCCCCCCTTATGTATTATACATGGATCATATCATATTATCCCCCCTTATGTATTATACATGGAGATCATATCCCCCCTTATGTATTATACATGGAGATCATATCCCCCCCTTATGTATTATACATGGAGATCATATCCCCCCTTATGTATTATACATGGAGATCATATCCCCCCTTATGTATTATACATGGAGATCATATCCCCCCTTATGTATTATACATGGAGATCATATCCCCCCTTATGTATTATACATGGAGATCATATCCCCCCCTTATGTATTATACATGGAGATCATATCCCCCTTATGTATTATACATGGAGATCATATCACCCCCCCTTATGTATTATACATGGAGATCATATCCCCCCTTATGTATTATACATGGAGATCATATCCCCCCCCTTATGTATTATACATGGAGATCATATCCCCCCTTATGTATTATACATGGAGATCATATCCCCCCCCTTATGTATTATACATGGAGATCATATCCCCCCTTATGTATTATACATGGAGATCATATCCCCCCTTATGTATTATACATGGAGATCATATCCCCCCCCTTATGTATTATACATGGAGATCATATCCCCCCCCCTTATGTATTATACATGGAGATCATATCCCCCCCATTATGTATTATACATGGAGATCATGGAGATCATACCCCCCCCTTATGTATTATATACATGGAGATCATATCCCCCCTTATGTATTATACATGGAGATCATATCCCCCCTTATGTATTATAAATGGAGATCATATCCCCCCTTATGGAGATCATATCCCCCCTTATGTATTATACATGGAGATCATATCCCCCCTTATGTATTATACATGGAGATCATATATCCCCCCTTATGTATTATACATGGAGATCATATCCCCCCCCCTTATGTATTATACATGGAGATCATATCCCCCCTTATGTATTATACATGGAGATCATATCCCCCCCTTATGTATTATACATGGAGATCATATCCCCCCTTATGTATTATACACATGGAGATCATATCCCCCCTTATGTATTATACATGGAGATCATATCCCCCCCTTATGTATTATACATGGAGATCATATCCCCCCTTATGTATTATATATATCATGGATACATGAGATCATATCCCCCCTTATGTATTATACATGGAGATCATATCCCCCCTTATGTATTATACATGGAGATCATATCCCCCCTTATATATTATACATGGAGATCATATCCCCCCCCGCTTATGTATTATACATGGAGATCATATCCCCCCCCTTATGTATTATACATGGAGATCATATCCCCCCTTATGTATTATACATGGAGATCATATCCCCCCTTATGTATTATACATGGAGATCATATCCCCCCTTATGTATTATACATGGTGATCATATCCCCCCTTATGTATTATACATGGAGATCATATCCCCCCTTATGTATTATACATGGAGATCATATCCCCCCTTATGTATTATATTATACATGGAGATCATATCCCCCCTTATGTATTTATACATGGAGATCATATCCCCCTTATGTATTATACATGGAGATCATATCCCCCCTTATGTATTATACATGGAGATCATGTCCCCCCTTATGTATTATACATGGAGATCATGTCCCCCCATTATGTATTATACATGGAGATCATGTCCCCCCTTATATATTATACATGGAGATCATGTCCCCCCTTTATGTATTATACATGGAGATCATGTCCCCCCTTATGTATTATACATGGAGATCATATCCCCCCTTATGTATTATATATGTATTATACATGGAGATCATATCCCCCCTTATGTATTATTATACATGGAGATCATATCCCCCCTTATGTATTATACATGGAGATCATGTCCCCCCTTATGTATTATGGAGATCATGTCCCCCCTTATGTATTATACATGGAGATCATGTCCCCCCTTATGTATTATACATGGAGATCATATCCCCCCTTATGTATTATACATGGAGATCATATCCCCCCCCATATCCCCCCCGCTTATGTATTATACATGGAGATCATATCCCCCCTTATGTATTATACATGGAGATCATATCCCCCCCTTATGTATTATACATGGAGATCATATCCCCCCTTATGTATTATACATGGAGATCATATCCCCCCTTATGTATTATACATATATACATGGAGATCATATCCCCCCTTATGTATTATACATGGAGATCATATCCCCCCTTATGTATTATACATGGAGATCATATCCCCCCTTATGTATTATACATGGAGATCATATCCCCCCTTATGTATTATACATGGTGATCATATTCCCCCCTTATGTATTATACATGGTGATCATATCCCCCCTTATGTATTATACATGGAGATCATATCCCCCTTATGTATTATACATGGAGATCATATCCCCCTTATGTATTATACATGGAGATCATATCCCCCCTTATGTATTATACATGTTGATCATATCCCCCCTTAATCTCCTCTTCTCAAGAGAGAATAAATTCAGTTCCTCTAATCTTTCCTCATAGCTGAGCTCCTTCATGCCTCATATCAGTTTGGTTGTGCCTCTGTACTTCCTCCAGTCCCCCAATGTTCTTTTTGTGAATTGGTGCCCAAAACTGAACTCCATTGTGTTCTGTGAATGAGAAACTACAAGTCCCTACATCCTTAGCAGCTGTCGGCTTGTAGTTCTCATTGAGCGATCATGCTGCTGTGGAGCATCGTGGTAGTTCATTGAGTCTTCCTGTCAGTATATCTGCTTGCTCTTACATCCCATACGGGCAAGCAGATATACAGACAGTCTGCAGGAGACTTGCATGGCACCAGCGATCTACTGGTGCAATGCTTTACAGGCTCCTGCAACAAAAAATAATAAATGCAAATTTTTTTACTTGAAAAAAAAAATGCATTTATTATTTTTTGTATAAAGGTGAATTTATCCTTTAATCAAAGGTCAGGATAGTGCTGGTAAAGAAGAAATAGTGGAAATTAAAGTAGAAACATAGCAGTAAGATCCTGCTCTAGATTTTAAGGTCAGGTTAAAAAGGTAGGGTAGGTTTGTTTGGTTGCTGTGGTTATGACAATATTTTTTGGGAATCCTATGGAAGTCTGATACATTATGTATTTGCTACACCTCACACAGGAGCTACAAGCGAGTTTTTGAGACCGTGAAAGCTGCCAATCAAGTGGTAAGGTCCCGTGGTCCTTCTCAGCGGCCATCTGCTGCTCCAAGTCGCGTGGGCACTCCTCCACTGAGCTTCTGTGAATCAGAGGGTTCCAGCTTGGTGCATCTGGAGGAGGAGACATTGGTTCCAGGAGGAGGAAACGAATCTTCTGTGTAAGTTTCAGGTCCACAAAACTCTATGCAAACTCAGTTTTGTAGCTGAGCTGGAACGTTGTATAATGAAATCTAATTGTTTTCATCTTTGCAATCTATGGTCCTTTCTGAAATGTTTATTTGCCCCATGCAGTGCTGGAGAGAAGAAGTTGGGAACACCCGGTACACCTGGAGGACAAGACCTGGCCGCTGCACTTCAGAGACTTCGCGCTCAACAAGAATCTGATTCTCCAGATCTATTTAAGGAGAGAGAACACAAGTTGCAGAGAGTTGGAGAGGTCTCCAGTGGATTCCTTACACCCAATGATAGCGTCCTTTCCACTGGTACTAATTATTCTGGCATTTCTGAGGCCAGTGGCAGCTCTAGTCTATCCCTGGGATCAAGAGCCTACCTACCTGAGAAGCTTCAAATTGTCAAACCACTGGAAGGTTAGCACATGACTTGTTCCCTGTAGAACAGAAAACTGCTTCCTTTTTTTTCTGTATTCTACGTAACTTGACTTACATATTTTTTATATGCTGTAGTGGATGATATATAAACACTGTTGCTTATTAGTAATCCACACCATAATTTTACTAGTTATTTTCCTGTTCACATCAGAGCATGTTTGACAGTATGGCAAAAAAAAAAGTTAGTTATATTCCAATTTAATAAAAATACAATACCCTGTAGGAGAACTATATATCTTGCAAAGATTTTAGCAAACTGTAATGCATACTCCGACTTTTCTCATTTGCTTTACTATGGCATTATTATGTCCAATCCCACAACTACCTGCTAATTGGTAGGGATTGCTTTTGTTTCGGGTATTTATCAGGCCTTTCTCCAGGCAGAATGTGCTGGAGAAGAACCTTATGTTCCTACGATGGTATGGTGGTGCCATCCACTAATTCACGAAGTGGGCAAGCTTGTAAGGTGTGATACAGTACATTGGCATGCCACTCTATTTATGTCCATTGTAACCACCTACCTTCTTTTCCAGGTTCAGCAACCCTCCTGCACTGGCAGCAGCTAGCAAAGCCAAACTTAGGTGGCATCCTGGATCCCAGGCCAGGCGTTCTCACCAAAGACTTTCAGGAACTGGACATTGATGTAGAGGATGTCTACAACCTCAATGACTTTGAGGAAGATGACCTGGAGCCAATTTCCTTCCAAGCCACGGTGACCTCCACTCCTACCAAAAACAGGAAAACGAGTAGCAGTGAGTACCTGATTGGTTAAGGCTCTTTTTAAATTCAAGAAGAATTCTGAGACTCAAAATAAACTTGCTAACTCTGAAATGTTTTTAGACTGATGGTCAATAGCTGCCATTACTTATATGCAAGACCCCTTTCACATGGGCGGACTCCGCCAGTGGATCTGCCTGCTAGGCGGGGGATCTGCCCACTCATCCCCACTGAGTAGGCAGATGACAGGTCCATGTCTGCTCAGCTTATACACAGCACACACAGACACAGCCCACTTTCCTCTATGGGCAGTCAGACTGCCTGTCTGTTTACATGTAACTGTCATCCTATCCACTAGATCACGGGTGTCAAACTGGCAGCCCTCCAGCTGTTGCCAAACTACAAGTCCCATGAGGCATTGCAAGATTGACAGTTACAAGCATGACTCCTAAAGGCAACAGCTGGAGGGCCGCCAGTTTGACACCCCTGCACTAGATGGACAGTGAACAGATCCTGATCCATCTGTTTTTAGCGGATCTGATAGGATCAGATGCAGACGGGTGTAAATGGACACATGTCCATTTACATCTGCCATTCCATTGAGGGCAAAGGATGGTCCAATCAGGCCAATCGGGTCCCCCTGAAAAAAATGAACAGGTGAACCCGATTGGTCCACCCATGTGAAAGGGGCCTTATTTGTAATTTGTTGAACGGATATTTAAAATCCTGTTATTTCTATGCAATCTCTAGTCATCCATCTCATCTGTAGTTGTCACAATCCTCTGTGTCTTCTCTAGCACTAATTGGTTGTCTAACTTCTGTGACACATGTCTGTCATATTCCATGTCTGTAATAAGTAGCTTCCTTGTGTGTTTCAGTGTTCACTTCCAATAACAACCTCCCCCAGACACCATCTACGTTCACCATAACCACATGTCGCACCCCGCACTCTCTGCAGGACATTACAATGGTCACTTCCAGGTAGGTTTTCTCCCTCATGTTATATTGTGTATTTGTGTCTGCTTGTTTTATCTTGGTGACTCTGTTATGCATTCATTCCTTGTTTACATGTCTATTTAATAGCTGATTTCTAGAACAACAAACAAATGGACTCCTACCACACCATCCCACTGATAGAAGGGTTGAGGGTGAGGGGGGTGTATGCCAGCACTGTGTACATGTCTATTTAATAGCTGATTTCTAGAACAAAACACAAGTGGACTCCATCCACACCATCCCACTGATAGAAGGGTTGAGGGTGGGGAGATAAAAGCACAGTAACCTAGTCAGGATTTTTTGTTTGGTTTGCAAATATTACTCCCTTTTTTTTTGCCCCGCTGTCCCCTTGGATGCTGTGATCCTTCATGTGCCCTTCTGTCTGCTTTGCTGTGCTCTGTTGTTTAGGCAATTTAACTTTTCTGTCAAATGGCAGGTGATGTAATTTTCAGGTTTCAGGTGCATCTAAACCCAGAATCAAAACCGAAATATATTGCAGCTTACCAGTTCTTAGATATGGTGACTGCATTTTTTTCCTTTTCTTTTTAGCCTGGTGATCCTACTAATATCATACTTCCTGGCCCCAGGTTGAGGGGACGGGGGGGATTAGTAGTGGTACAGGTATTTTCTGTACTTTGCTGAAATAATGTTATGTTTACGAAATGAACACTAATGCAGTCATCCCATCCAAGGACTGGTAACGTGCAATATATTACATTTTCTGGTTTTGAGTTTAATCAGTCTAACGGGCAAGTCACTGAAGACATTCCCAAAATCCTGGTAGTTTTTCACTCTCATGGCTTCCAGAATCTTCTATGGAGATGATCAAGAAGCAATCATAGCAAGAGGATTTCCTGGGATGCCTTTGTATGGACCCCCCCCCCCACCCCCCACCATCACCACCACCTTCCACTCAGGATTTCCTCCTCTGTATATACAGCTGACAACTGTAAAGATCTCCAGTCTTAGCAACTGAAACTAGATCAGCCATAGTGCCATTTTTAGCACAAAGGCACTCTTATTCTTCAAATATATTGTCTTTATTATTAATAAGAAGTATTCAAATATTCAATTATCTTTATATTCAGATTTAGGTTATCATGACCAATGTTTCTTTTATTTTAATGTATAATGTAAATATGATCAATCTACCTGCTGTCAGTTTTAGGTGGACTTAGTCACCTTCCTATTCCATAAAGCTCTGTGACCCTGGCAGACAGTTCTGCTCTCAATGACGGTACAGACTGTGGCTGTCACCAGGGTGGATTTGATTTAAATCAAACTGATTTAAATCACGATTTAAATCACTAGTCAGTAAGGCTTGATTTAAATCCTAGTTTTCTACATAGACTAATTCTTGCTGGTATAACTTTAATATACAAGTAGATGAAGATTTTTAGAATAACTTTTCATATTAGTTTTTTTATCCCCAGTTTAATAGGTTAATCACTCATATTTGGACAACTTTTCTGTTGTACTTAGGAATGAGAAAAATAATCATTACCTTATTAATAACAATTTAAATAGATTTATTCATCTGAAACAATAACATTCCAGCATATGTGATTTGCTTAAACATCCATGTTTGTTAACTAATTTGGCTAAACAAAATATATATATTTTCAGAAACTTAGACGATCAGCCCCTCCCTCCTCACACTTAGTTTCCCTTTCTTCTTGTGCAGATCTATTCCACTCCAAACAATCAGAAAAATATTGTTTCTATTCTATTCACTGAACTTCTTGAAACTTAGCACTGAAGGGGTTGATTCTGTATTCATAGGTTTGTAGAAGTTAGGATGAAGGTCTTTTTCTTAACTCTGTTCATGTTATAACATTTTTGCTGTGAAGAAGAGGCATGTGATCTCCGCTGAGTCAAATTCAGTTTTGAGAACTGCAAAAGTAAACCAAGCATCTGTGATAATATCTTGTAGGTAGAGAAACCGCCCAATAATCTTACAAAAACCTCTGGAAGAGCATGACATTGTGAATGGATTCATGGAATTTATTTACCAAAAAAATTAAACATATACAGCCTTATTCTACATAATTAAAAAACTAATCTTTATTTCATGATGGAATAACCTTTGGATGGTAATATATTTTCCTCAAAAAGCATTTTATTCAAAAAAATCCGATTTAAATTAAAAAAATCCGATTTAAATAAAAAAAATCAGATTTTTTTAATTTTTTAAAAAAAAATCATTGATTTTTATCCACCCTGGCTGTCACTTATATCCCTGCTGCTTGACTCTGCTAAAGAGAAAATAAAAATCAATCAGTCCTGCTGACATTTTTGCAGATAATAACTTCTGCTTATGTTTTTGGGGTTTTTTTTAACCATCATTTGACTTGTGGTTTATGACCATATTATTACCACTTCTTATATGGTATTTGATAAATTTTGCTATTTATAAAAGTAGAATGAAAGGCCAAACTATAAACTAACTTTATATGAGCTCCTCTGTAATGTAGAAGGCCAGTAAAGGAGCTGAATTACACAGAGCTGGGACTTCACCCACCGGGCTCCACTGCTGTAGGCGTTGTCAGCAGGCAAGAGATTTCCCCCTCTACCGGCCACAGAGCGAGCTGGAGCTTTGTGATCATGTGACCAAATAGAAAAATGGTTTAAAAAGAGGCATTTTGATTACAATTTATTAGAAAATATATGCCAGGCATTAGGGAGGCAACATTTAAAGTTGGTTTCTAGTTTCTAGTTTAGGCCTTTTACTTTAAAACCAGATTCAAAGAAGCTGAGGCCCTCCTACTATCTCTTACCAGTGTACAGCCTCTCCAGGTCATACCCATCGCTCTGCCAAATGCCTGAATTGCTATATTGCAAGCATAGATCTGTATATTTCTTAGAAATCAACAGGGGGAGATAGGGAAGTTTTTTTGTTGGGGGCCCAGAGAGACAAAAAAAAGACAGAAGGTGAACCAAGAAAAGTCCATCAAATCACTGCTGTGGGGCTGAGATGTCATTGATATATTAAAGGATAACTAAACCCAACAACAAAAATGTAATGTATTGCAGCTTACAAGTTCTTGGAGGTGATTGCTGCATTCATTTTCTTTTTTTCAAGATAATTACATTTTAAGAGAGGATAAAAATTACCTATTGATCTTACCAGAAATGCCATATCCTTGTCATTCTCTGTGAGAATCTTTCTACTGTAAACTGCTAATCTCCCCATGTAATGAAGATGAACAAGGCAGATGTGTTTGGAGTCCAGCCTGCAATCATGGCTCCCTCCATAGATACAATAGCAGAGTTAACATAACCACCCTAAGGCAGGAAATGTATTATTGGCAGGATTGCCAGGTGAAAATAAAGAAGCAATGCCTAAAAAAAAGAAAATGAATGATCACATCTTAGGACTTGTAAGCTGCAATATATCACATTTCTCTTTATGGTTAAGATATGCTTTAACTGCTTTCCTTGCAGTGCATGGATTGCGCTTTTTCATCTCTGCACTCCGCCACATGCACTTTGCTTCCTGCACCCCCTCACTCATGTGTCCATTTTCCATCCTCATGGTTCTAGGCACTTCAAGTCCTGGTGGAAGCAACTTTTCCAGTGTTTGACTTTCTGAGAGGCGTCTGAGCGCAGGGTCAGACTCCACAACAAGGCCACAGGTAGCCAGCAGTGACCTTCACATTTCTTATAGGACACTCAGTGACCACTGAGGACAGGCACAGTATCTAATTAGTCACTGGATTCTGAATTGAAGCCTCATTCACATGGTCAATTAGTGCTATACACCGCCAAGAATCCGTGTTTGTCCGTGGCTGTGATTACAGGTGTGTTCGATCAGCTGCGGCCAGGAAACCTGTACAAATCAATAACTGGCTGATAGGCGTCGCTTCTGTATGCATGTAATGGCACATAAAAGCAGGTATATATGCTCAGAGACTTGGATGCAGACCGTTTGGCGTCTGAAGCCGCTCAGCTGTATCTAATTGCATGTACCTGCTGTACGGTTGATGTGCTTTTCAGCTCATTATTTATTTGTACAGGATTGCTTGCTGCCAATTATTGCACACACCTCTGATCCCCGCCACACAGAAACGCTGATTCTTGACAGCGTTCAGTCCTAATCAGCCATGTAAATGCCCCAATGGCAAAGGATATATTGTCACCTAATATACAGTTTGTATGTTACTACAGGTAGCTGTCTAGGTGGCTTGTCTGTCATCATACTGTATATGTATATTTCAAAGTCCAATTTAAATATATTGGAAATGAAGAACACAGAACAGTGCAAACTAATATTTTCCTGATTTGAATGTCATTTTTTTGTTAGAAGTGTTCTCTCTCTAGATATATATATTTATCTATCAGTCAGGCTTTTTTCATGCCTGATCCCTGAATAGTATATATTGACAATTTGTATTAATTTTACAGAGTTTATCCTTCTAGAACTAGCAATCTAATATTTAGGTACTGTTCATGAGTTCTTTGACACTTGAGGGGGCTGTTGTATATCCTGTGGCTTGATAACCTCACAGCTTTGTAGAAAAGCAATAGGGCAGACCTTAAGGAGTGTCTTAGCCCTCACATAATTTCCTATTTAAATTAGGCCTATGTCCAGTACTGTTTTAGCTGGTGAGGTCTTTGGTCACTGAGTTGTCCTCAGGTTACTGCAGACATCTATTACCTATTGTCAGGGTTCAAATACTGCACAAGATTTATAATGTGACTTTATAAATAGATGACTTCTGGTCCAGTCTCTTCCCCCCCCCCCCCCCCCCCCAAAAAAAAAAGAGCAGATATGTTATCTGTCAAAACTGATGCAAGTCTTTTTCTTGAAAGGCATATCTATAGCATGCATAGCTCTTCTTTTTTTTTGTCCTGGATGTCTAGTTGCCTGTCAGGTGGGACATCCAGTCACAAACAGGATAGAAGGATAACCTGTCAACAATATCAGGATGCTGTTTGAAACAACATGGCTTCCTGAACACTGGATAAAGTTTCTGTTGGGCACAGTGAATACTATAGAGCCCTGTACAGGCATACAAGTATACGGTAGATAATAACTGATTTCTCTCTTTGCCCTCCTTTTTTTTTTTTTTTTTTTTTTTTTTTTGTATACCTTAGAGAGGCAAACTGGGTACTCCGTTAAAGTAATCAGGATGACTCTACAGAAGTCATTAAACTTAACAAAAAAAAAAATATTATTTAAAATTATATGAGAATTGGACTAGATGTCTTTGCATCTGTGAAGTCACAGGCCTGTGCAATCTGAACCTTGATCTGTAGTGACAAAAAAGTCTATCTCTCTCTCTAATGCCTAACCGCTTCCATGGGTTCTTGCATGTGCTAACTGAACAACCCGTTTTCATTAACCTCCTTTTCAGTCTAAGAAAGTCTTGCCGTTCATTCACTGGTCTCACAATGAATTCAGTATAAGTATAATATAAAAACAATGGAGGTGTAAGAGGTGCAAGTGTCCCCATTGGAAGATTTAGCTTCATCTGTTGTTCTGGTGACAGTTCAAACATTTGGGATTTTCCATAACTTGGTCACCAGGACTAGGGTGAATCTACCTAATGGGAACACAGAAGGCAATAAACACTTTGACAAGGGTTACAATCCTTTCCTCCTCTCTCCAAAACTTAAAAAACCCTCTACAAACACTTCTACATGTGCCATTAAATATTACAGCTTGAGCTGCATTTTTAGTTATTGTCATTTTATACCTTTTATGAAAAAATGTCAGTTGTAAAATTCTCCCCATAACTCCCTGTCATGGCACAAGTTGTTACACTAAATTGCATCAAATAAAATGAGAGAGATGTCAGTCAATACAACATTCTTGTTTAGTGTGTGTGCGTGTTTTGTAGCAATAATTAAAGTATATAAAGTAAAGCTGTCAGGTAAACAAATCTACCCCACCCTGTTCTAGGCACCCTCCAGGTCTTATACTAAAATGTAATGCTCCTGATCCCTCCTTCAGCTCTGTAAAAATCCTGGTATGTGCAGATGTGAGATAATTGAGAAGGAAACAAACCTAGTTCTATGAATGCTCGTGAAACTTGAAATACTAATACATTGTGTAGACCAATGAATAAATGATAATGAGTGTTTAAATTGGCGTGCAATAAGCACTTATACTTATTTTCATATTTCAGTATTCATCGAATGTAATTCTAGGAGCATGCAAGTTTAGCAAGTGTTTAGGAATTAAAAGCTGGATCGCTTTAACTGCTTCTCCACTGATTAGTTTTCCTGCTGGAGCCCTTGAAAAAAAAAATATGCAGTACTATTGGGTAGGGGAGCCTGCGATCCTCTTCCATACCTGCCACTGCAGTGCTTCATGCTTCTGCAGCTACATGGAAGCAGATCATTAGCCTTTTTAAAGCTGTTTTCACGGACAAACACTGACCTCTTACACAACGCTTTCCAATCTGGGCTCCAGTAGGTGAACAGGTGAGCACAGACAAGGTTCACTTGCTTTAAATGGACAAAGTGACAGATTCACTTAAAGGGCTCGTTTACACTTGCTTCGACATCAACACACATTAGAGAGCCTACTGCTTCAACATGCTTTTTTGATGCTTTTTTGATGCTTCTGCAATGCTTCAATGATTTTGCAGTGGTGCTTTTTTGAAGCTTTAATGAAGCTTGCCAGATGCCCTGTGTGTGTGTTGATACCTGCAATACCGCCAAAACAAAGCAAAGCTAAAGCTGAATTAAAGCCTCTCAAAAGCTGCAGGTGCTGCAAGCAAGCTTTGTCATAGGCTTCTATGGAGGCTTTGAAGCGCTACTAAAGGGACATGGTATATCATTTTTGAAGCAAAGCAAACGCAACATGTAAACAGGACTGTAAGCTAACCATTTTATTTCGTGACAGGGGCTTTGATCGGCAATGTCCAATGCCATGTTTTGAAGCTAGTGTAAACGAGCCCTATGGACTTGTTTACATGTGCTTCAAAATGTGGCTTCAGACAAGCTTTTTTTAAAGCTCTCTGAATGTCAATCAAAACCCCTGTCACTAAATAAAAAGGTCACTTTAATGGTGCTCCAAAGCCTCCATAGAAGTCCATGACAAAGCACGCTTGCAGCACCTGCAGGTATTATTCAGCTTTAGCTTGGCTTTGTATGGCAGTATGGGCTATCCCAGGAAGCACTGGGAAACCAAAAAGCAAACATTTCCATCCAGATTTAAAGCTAAAAGAGCCACTTTGGACTTTTAATTTCAAGATATGTGTACTACTGAGGAAAATAATACAGTATATTGGAAATAAATGAGATATATATATATATATATATATATATATATATATATATTTAGAAGCAATGCAATTTACATTTCTAGATCACACACTATATAGTTATATCTTTGTGGACACCTGCCATACTACCTAGATGAGCTTTTTAGACACCCCATTCCATATCCTAGGCATGCAGAGCTAGGGCTCACTATTGAGTGGGGCATCAGCAGAGCTGGAAGTACTACTGAACAGGGTATCTGCTAAACAAGGGTACTTATAAGCTGGGGATCTGCTGAACGAGGGTACTAATGAGCTCGGGATCTGCTGAACAAGGGTTCTAATGAGCTCGGGATCTGCTGAACGAGAGGGTTCTAATGAGCTGCAGATCTGCTGAACAAGGGTACTAATGAGCTCGCATCTGCTGAACAAGGGTTCTAATGAGCTGGGGATCTGCTGATTGAGGGTACTACTGAGCTGGGGTTCTACTGGGCCCCTTTAAAACAAATAGAAATTAACACACAAGGCATTTGTCTAGCTTCAAAAAATCATAATTGAAGCATCAAAATCACGTCACAAAAGCATGTTGGAGCAATAAGTGCTGAAGTGTGTGCTGAAATCGAAGCAAGCTCTTCGAGGTAACCTCTCCATTTTTGCTTTTAGTTTTCATACAAAATAACTTCATAAATATAGACAGCATCAGTTTTATGATCAAATGAACAATAACCTGATCTAGTGAAGAAAAGGAAAAGAGGCCAAAACTATTATTGTAGCAGTTGTATTTCTGTTATTCCAAAAGGAAACATATGGGAGTAGACCAGTGTATTAGAAGACCTAATTTCTTGGTGCATTAACATCTCTATTTATGCTTTCTTCCTCAGTCTTCGTAATACAGTCCTTTCTTCATGTGGAAGCTTTGAGAGCTTAAGTTCCCTTAATCTAGATACTCAAAAGGACCAAACAGTAACCTCTGCCGCATCAAGCTGTGACCAGACCGGCTCTGGACGTAACACTCCCATGGGACTAGTTACTCTGCTTCAGGAACATGGTATATCTGCCACCGCTGAGCCCAACAAGGTGCCCTCAACAGAAGATGAAAGTAGACCTCCTGTTCCAATTGCACACAGTTCTTTCTTACCTTTGAGATGGAGTAGGACTTTGATGGGTCTGGGTTTTGGAAGATCCCTAGTGGACGTTGCTACAGCTAAAAAGACATCAGACTCTGCTCCAACCCAGAAAAGCATCTTCAGCCTGAACTTGGTGGGACAGTTGCAGAGGCTTGGTTTGAATCAGGTGGTGGAAAGGGGTATTGCCTCTTTCCAGAGGACAACAGAGGATAGAAATCCCCCAAGCTAAATTCACATTGCCCAAATGCCCAATGAGGCAGCATGAAAACTTGCAAAACTTTGCACTGAGTGGACTTTCCCAGGACATGTACAGAAGATGAAGATTCCTGGAATATGAAGGCCACAGACCTTTTAATACCGTGACTTGCATGCTCTTGAAAAAAAAAGTGTAAACACTTTGTTGTCAGACAGCTCATTCGGAAGCAGCTAAGCATTTAACCCCATTCCATCCATGTTACAAGAGAGACCTCTTGTATGGTCACTATCCAAATATATCAAGCATTAGAATATTTATGTACCCCAATGAACATTTGAGTGAAAAGATGAACACAATGTTGTTGCAGCAGACAAGTGCTGGCATGTGGGACTTGGGCCAAACAGGTTAGAAAAGAGGACGGTTCCTACTGTTCTCTTCAACCAAGCAGAGATAAACTGGCAGCTCAATGTGTGCCCACTGGATGGGCATGCTGGATGGGAAAAAAATCCTTGTTTCAGGTTCTGATTGTTCTATCCAGCTTTTGTATATGTGGACCTTCAGCCTAAAAAGCAAATAAACTCAAAAACACAAATGTAATGTATTGCAACTTACAAGTCTGTAGATGTTGTGTCTATTAGTTTCCCTTATCGGAGAGTGTCCTTACCTTTTGTAAACTACTAATCCCATCAGCTCCCATGTAGTGAAGATGAACAAAGGCAGACATGTTTAAAGTTGACAACCATGGCTTCCTCCATAGGTACAGTGCTTGAGTAAGGAGAGAGGAGCATGTGAAAGAAAAGCAAAACCAGCACTCAGGTCCATTACACGTCCTGGGAACACGGTACCAGTCACTCGCTGAGGTGGAGCCCTCTAACTATCGAAGAATCTTGATAACACTGGAAAAAAGGAAAAAAGGGCGCACTCTCCTTGTGCATTAACGTGATCAAAAAGAATTTATTGAAAATGACAAAAGTGTATACTCACAAACCATGAGTCATAAATAAAAGCAAGGATGTGTGCTAACGCATTTTGGGAGATGAGCTCTGAGGCAGTTTATCTCCAGAAATGCGTTAGCACACCCTGTCGCAAGACCACCATTTGCTGGAACTGTCACATTGGTTCCTTGCTTTTATTTATGACTCTTGGTTTGTGAGTATACACTTTTGTCATTTTCCATAAATTCTTTTTGATCATGGCAATTCACGAGGAGAGTGCGCCTTTTGCTTTTTTCCAGTATTATCAAGATTCCCCGATCTTTAGAGGTCTCCACTTCAACAAGTGACTGGTACCGTGTTCCTAGGACGTGTATGGACCTGAGCGCTGGTTTTGCTTTTCTTTCATGTGCTCCTCTGTCCTTACTCAAGGAGGAAGCCATGGTTGTCAACTTTAAACATGTCTGCCTTTGTTCATCTTAAATGCACCCTTTTTTGCTTTTTTCAAGGTGAGAGGAGCGCCCAAGGTCCCAGAATAAGGAAACTCTTGTTGAATATAATCGTTTAGTGGAGGTAAAACATGTACAGATAGAGGAATTGCCTCCACCTTCTTCAGGGCAGTCAGTACATTCTAACGGAGATGGATTGGCTCCACGGGTCTACCTAAGTTTCTTTAGAAAGCTGTGCAATAAATATAGAATCAGTGAGCGCTCAGTAATATAGCAGCTGTTGCACGTAGAAGGTAACTAAATAAAACCTCATAAAATTCAAATGCATAAAAGTGCAGCGCTAAAAAGTATTCTCCAGTATAATAATATAAAGTTATAAAATTATGTTTAAAATTGGTGACCGTTCGTGATAAAATGCTTGATACAGGAGTTGATGGTGACTTCACATTCCAGTGGTGTGTCAGTAAATAGTAAAAATACGCACTCACCAGATGCGTATCTTTAAATACGCATATAATCAGTATAAACAGAGGTCCCCCTCTCGGGATGGGATGGATGAGTTGGGCCATCTTAACAGACTCTCCTCCTTCTGGATGGTAGGTGCCTACAGAGACTTCTCCCTTGGTGTGTGTGGATAGGAATCCAGGCAGAGGCCTCCTTAATGGATGGGTGGACGCTTGTCAGCTAACACTGGAACAGCTCCCTCCTCTGGATTGGTGCCACAAGTGATTCGGCTCCTGTATCCTCAAAATTGGGCTCTGGAAGTGAGCGTTCACTGACAAGCGTCCGCCCATCCATTAAGGAGGCCTCTGCCTGGATTCCTATCCGCACACACCAAGGGGGACGTCTCTGTAGCTGCCTACTGGAATGTGAAGTGACCATCAACTCCTGTATCAAGCACCTTATTACGAACTGTCACCAATTTTAAACATCATTTTATAACTTTATATTATTATACTGGAGAATACTTTTTAGCGCTGCACTTTTATTCTTTAGAAAGCTGATGACTGTTTGTGAGATGCAGAGGCAGCACCTTGGATACAGTGGATCAGTGAGTGTAGCCACCCGGGGACAGGAAGGGTTTTATTTGCAGGATTATCAGGCAGAAATAAAGGGAAAGAAAAGGTAATGTAGCGACCGCATCTAAGTTGCAATATATTACAATTTAGTCTTTTGGGTTTAGATACCGGTTTAATAGGTAGTATGTTGCATTATAGTGCACATGAAGGTGTCATTTTTTTAAACTGTGTATTAGAAACAGGTGTCGGTTATTAAATGTAGAGTAAATGCACTCTGATTTAAAAAATGTCAGTCTTCAGCAGATCTGTGTAAATACATGTTCTGTCCTTTGTCATATGCATGAGTGCATAGTTCTATCTACTTCAGGGTTATCCCTGTAAGATGCTAATCTTGTCTAAGACGCTCATCAGGTGGTGCACAGTTGTAGCAGGGTTTCCTGTATGATTGGTAGGACTATTGCTGCTACTGCTCACATATCACATGGGGTGTTTGAGATAGGGGACCCCATTCTGGGAACCCTGCTCTTGCAAGTTTGTACCTGTGGTCCTCTGTTTATTGATAGCACTGCTTTTCAATGACCTATGCATATTGTGCAGGGGGTTAGCTCAACTGGGGTCACCTTCCCTGGGAAGGAGGCAGGTCTTTTCTTAACCCCTTCGCGCTGGCGCCTCCCGACCCTTTAAGGCTTTCAGAAGCCGGGAGGCAGGGCGGGGTTTAAGGTCATGTGACCGCCGTCACATGATCGGGAAAGGTCCCGATCGAAAGAGGAGATCGGGACCTTTCCGTGAGTACCGGACATGTATGCTGGGAGCGCGCACTCTCAGCACATATGTCCTGTTTTTAATGGAACGCAAATGTGCGGCCGCTCGGCATCTAGGCCCAGACGCCGGGAGGCTGCACATTTGTGTTCGGCCGGCGTGAAGAGGTTAAAATTCTGGCTTGTAGTCAGTTTTATTTAAAAGGTTACAAACAAAGCAAAACAGAAAATAAATCCTTGCCTTCCAGGCACTAACTAAACAGTACAGATTCCTCTATCCTTTCTCTTACAGCGGGATCTCCACGTGTAGCTCTATCTCCGCTAGATTCCTGAGTCCCAGGCTAGCACCATCCTGCTCTAGCTCTTCCTTCTTTCTCATCTGCTGCTGGTCACTAGTAGGAAGCAAAACCCGGTTTGGATCCTACAATGCCAAGGTGACCCGGGAAAACCCGGACCAGATTCCACCTTTGTTTCCCCATCTGAAAGCATGCGAGGTGACACATAGGGGTTTATTTACTAAAGCTGGAGAGTCCAAAATCAGACTCCCTTCTGCATAGAAACCAATCGGCTTCTAACCTCAGCTTGTTCAATGAAGCTTTGGCAATGAAACCTGGAAGCTGATTGGTTTCTATGCAGAAGGGAGTCTGATTTTGGACTCTCCAGCTTTAGTAAATAAACCCCATAGCATCCCTCAACCACCTCGCCTTTCATTATGCCTCAGTATCTAAAAGCATGTGTAGACTATAATACCTGTGTTTAGCCCGACCAAACCCTTTGTAGTAAATGGTACAAGTGTAGGACAGACGCAAAGGACAACACTCCCATATTGAAACGTATAGCTGCGGTAATGTGTCCAGGGAACTATAGTTTCTCTTTAATCTACGATCTTGTTTCCAAAGGACAAAAGTCAGACTTTAAGATACATGATGCCTCTACATTCTGAAATGTTCAAAACTACTTGAAATGATGAAAGGGAATCTTCTAAACACTTCATACTGACAACTGTCACCTACTCATGAACAGTTTACTACAGTCACCTAAAGGCTGGTATTTTTACTGTCATCTGCAGGTGAACTGAATACTATGATTTACAGGGAATATATTTTTTTTATGCCGTACTGCTGTTTTAAGGTTTCTTGCAATCATGTCACAATTCCGAGACCGTGTATTGTACTGTATGTATGCTGTGAACTGCAATGTGATTAGTTGATCGGGTGTAAGGGCTCATGAGCTGATAAACTCACGTTTAGGAGCTTTTCTGCATTTTTTTTTCAGCAGCCTCTGAACTCTCCCTAATGTTTCCTATGTGTCCATGTACACATCTTCGTTTACAGTCATTTTTTTTAACGCAGAAAACTTGCGTTCAGGAGTAGATTTTACCGGCATTTCAAAAGCCAAACGCTTGTAAATGCGGTTAACCACGTTTATAAGCATTTGCATTTAGAAGCGTTTTTTTAACTATTCCATATCCAGATGCTGTCCAGAGCCTTTTTTCATCATCAGAAATGCATGCAAAGTGTTTACTCCTGGTGTACTAGTTCCTTTGAAACGCTGATAAAATCTTCCATGTATTTAAAACGCTTGTAAATGCGGCTAACTGCGTTTAAAAGCGTTTGCAATTTTTTTAACTTTTCCATTTCCAGATGCTGTCCAGAGCCATCATGAAAAGTGCATGCAAAGCGTTTTCCCGGTACTCAAATGGACCTGGTACACCATACTTTGAGGTTTCGTATGAAAGAAAATATGTTAGACACTGCTGCAATAATTTCTGCACAGAAATGAGCCTGAACACATCCAAACACCACAAAAAAAATAAAAGAAACCTAAGCTCAACACATACTGCTCTCTCTGCTTCTGCTCTCTCTATTTCTCTGA